CGAGCGGCAGAGTAAGTCCCAGGGAGCTGAAGGTGCAGTCCTTCCTCCCCAGCGGCAGTGTGTATCCCAGGGAGCTGAAGGTGCAGTCCTTCCTCCCCAGTGGCAGTGTGTATCCCAGGGAGCTGAAGGTGCAGTCCTTCCTCCCCAGTGGCAGTGTGTATCCCAGGGAGCTGAAGGTGCAGTCCTTCCTCCCCAGTGGCAGTGTGTATCCCAGGGAGCTGAAGGTGCAGTCCTTCCTCCCCAGCGGCAGTGTGTATCCCAAGGAGCTGAAGGTGCAGTCCTTCCTCCCCAGCGGCAGTGTGTATCCCAGGGAGCTGAAGGTGCAGTCCTTCCTCCCCAGCGGCAGTGTGTGTTCTTAGGAGAGGAGACAGTTGGTCCCTCTCCCTAGCGGTCAAGTGAGTCCCAGGGAGCTGAAGGTGTCGTCCTTCCTCCCCAGCGGCAGATTGTATCCCAGGGAGCTGAAGGTGTCGTCCTTCCTCCCCAGCGGCAGAGTGTCCTGCAGGGAGCAGAGACTGTCAGTCTCGCACCCCAGCAGCAGGACAAAATATTGAAAGGGGAGACAGCTGGTCCCCCTCACCACCAGCAGAGAGAGTGTCAGGGAGAGGCGCCCTCTCCCCAGCGGCAGGCTACAGTTCAGAGAGAGGACCTTGTTACACCCTCTCTCCAGCGGCAGCCTAACCCACCAAGGGGAGATGTTACACCCCCCAACAGTGCAGATGGGACCGTAGTCTTTGCACTTGCAGCACAAGGGGTAGGGACGGTCGGTCCTGTCCCCCAGCCCCAGAGCTGTGTACCCAGAGGGGAGACGGTCGGTCTCCCCCTCCCACAACCAGGCTCCAACCAGGCTACTTCAGTGGTAGCACTGGCACCAGGGCAGAGTACCGCTGGTCTCTGCCCACTCAGCAACCCACCAAGGCAGCCTAACAGTTCCCCACACAGTCGTAGTGAGGCACCTGGACATGGACAAAGCTCTCCTCTACCCCGGTGTAGTAACCAGTTATTGTGGGTGGCCTGTACTGCTGTTTCTGTTTTGTGGGTGGGTTGCTGGACTAACCAGGGCACTGACCGGCAGGAGGTCAGATACCCTGTTAGTCTAGTTTGTAAAGGGGAGAAGTGTGGCGAAACCAACCTCGCCACTGTGAACTGGAGAAGCCTGGTTGCTCGCCTGCTCTCTTTGGACTATGGCCCTGCAGGTTAAACCATTTATTTTCCCTGCAGAAAGGCTTATTCATGTGATCTGAGTGCCATTCATCTAATAATGTGCGCTCAGATCAAAGCTATCTGGGGATGTGTAGAAATGTGTGTTTTATGTACTAAATGTATCAGTATGTAATTTTATGTCTTTACTGTCTTTTTGTCTGCCATGTGGGTAATGGAGTTTTGCCTCTGTCCTGGGAGATAATTAGATTCCTTCCCCAAGTATCTCCAGGCCAGAGGGGAGGGATTGTGAGGCATTGTGGGAGGTAACTCATGTGTGATTGGTGTATTGTGTAATTGTTGTAAATCCCTCCCTTGCATGGGAGAATCCTTTATAAGCCTGTTGTGTGAATAAATCAGGGTTGTTCCTGTTTAACCCTCCAAGTGAAGTGTCGTCTCATTCTTGGGGGGAATTTGACTGTATGCCGATTGCCAGGAGTGTAAGCTGTTCTTAGGGCTTTTCCTGTTCGGCTGCTTCCAGGGTTCGTGTGTTTCCTGTTCGGGAGTTGGTGAATACGTGCAGTTTGGAGATCGGGAGGTTGGTGATTGCAGTAGCTGCTGGTCTATCTGGAAGGGGATTATCGCCTAAATGGTTTTTATCCCCTTGTGAGCGAAACGGTCCGTTACAGTAACTACAAGGTGAAAAATATTTTTATAAACTTTAAATGTATTCAACGTGTTGTAGGAATGTAGAAATATTGTAAGTTATTAATTTAAGCATATCCAGACATCGAGAGGCCTACCCAGATAGATTACTATCATAATGTAATTTACACACATATGGTTTTAAGTCAAGAATGATGGATGGAGACTTGTGGATCCTGTTGATAATAACCTTTGACCTAGCCTTGTAAGCCTGAATTCCTGTGAATCATTCATTCCATCATGTAATTAGAAGTCTCAAGAAGGTCTTTGTGTGTAACTTACCAAAACATCATAACGTATGGCTTTAATCATAGATATCGAATAATACTAAGTTACCACCTATTTTTTCTTAGATAACCAATTATTGTAAAGCAGGCAAACCTTATGTCATTATGTATACGCCCTATGTAATTGAATTTTAAATGTATATAATCCATTGCAGCTAGAATACCAATACCAATAGAATACCAATACTTTTAACATCAAGCTTGGATAAGATCTAGAAGTGAATATACATTGTCTATTGGTCCATATGATTTTAAACCAGACTTTTGTTGTTACCGGATGATGTGTATATTGTAATAAATATACGGTTTTAACTGCAAGACACTCTGATTCGATTTGTTCAGAAAACTGGAAAACAAATATCTCACGGAATGCAAATTTCCTACACAAGGACTTTCTTTATTCGGATAGTGAAACCGACGATGAGGTGTGCTGCTGTTATGAAGAGCCTGTTCATAAAGGGATGGGGGGGAGGGGGTCCTGTCACGATTCTCACTGCGACATCCAGACTTGGTCGTCCCAGAAGAGCCCAACAGGGGTTTGAACCTGGGTACTTTGCAGTCCTGGGCCTGCTATCTATCTTTGAGCCACATCAGGTCCTAGTCCTTGGAATTATTCTAGTCCTGTTCATCCTGGCTTGTGTGCAGTACTGGGGGCTCGACTTCGTCTATTGCTGTGCTTCACCTGACTCTGATCAGTCATC